TACTCCCCCTGGCTCAACGGTAGTTTTTTGAGGAAAAATTTCGGAAAAAAAATGTAGGGAATTAAGGTAATTCGGGAGATGCTAGGTAGGATGTCGGCGGTGGGTTTTTACTGTGCGCTTTATACCCCCTGGCTCTTTTATGGGGGAAAACTTCGGAAAAAAAGATGGGGAGTTTAGGGGAACTTGGGGGAATTATAGATATGGATGGCAGGTGGTGGGACGGTCGCACCAGAGAAACAATTGAAGGATGGGGGAGGGGCATTTAGCGAAAAGCAGCAACGGTAGGACGCCCTTGAGCACACACCACAGTTGTCCTCGCGAGCGCAGTAGCGAGGATTTCGTCGCTAAGCCGCGCAGTTCCTTTTAAGTACAGCAAGACTTCGTAACTACTCCAGAAGACTTTCCTGAAGTCGCCTCAAGTAACCCCCTCCCTCCACCCTGTCGGTCTGAGTGCCAAGAAATGCTCATTACTTCATACGTCAAATCTTATTCGAATCTGAGGCTTCAGTAAAACTGATAGGTGACTAAAAAAACTAACCCGAGTAATTCCCAGTCCCTGTTCATGCATAAGTCCCAAGTTGAACATGGCTTGTGCAGTAGCATGACGTTCCACTGCCAACTTGTAATGTTGTGCAGCCTGAATAAAAAAATCGTTGACGGAACCTGCAACCAATCTCATCTCAATAATCAACGGATGTCAATAATGTAAAAAAAAAGTATGTAAATAACGCAGCAACTGTTACATTCATGTCAAAATAAATCATGAAATATTATCAAGCAGCATCAGGTATTGGACAGACTCCTCACTTATGAGTATGACACCTATGATTAGCCTTCTACTGTGAAAAAACTGATACCTCCACAGATCAACAAGTAGTCCCGTTCAACGCACAGTTAAGCGTTCAGTGAGAAATGAAACCGTCGACAGCACAACTCCAGGGAGAGGGAACATAATCGAAAAAGCGATTCAAAATCTAGATGCTGAAGAGGAAAAAGGACTATGGCATTCGAGCACACAAACACACTCTACGACTGCAATTCGTGCGGTCCAATTACGAATGCGTAGATGGCGATCTGACTTAATGACACTTCCCACGATCATGCTTACGAATAATACGTGCTCAGTCATGAACCAGTAGCTCATAAGTATTTTTCTCCAATATAGACAGAAGCGAAACTCCTGATAAAACTTCTATCAAAGATCCCTCAGCAGTGGACACCTTGACGAGTTTGTCGGACGTCGGCAAGCTCAATTAGCAGGATTCGACGTGCAACCGATTCCCGGCAAGAGCACAGGAAATCACCCTACGACGCTCCAGGCAACGCTATGTACACACGCAATTCCGCTTGCAAGCCGTTGTCTTGTGAAAGTAATCGTGGTTGCAATGGTTGCAATAATCACGCGTCTCTAGCTTCTTTATCTCGCCGTTTCGAGTGACGAAAGTGGTATATTCTCTGCGACGACAACGATGCCAAATGCATGGAGGCATTTCGCGGACCACTTGATCGCGAAAACTGTCTTTAATTGTGAAGAAAATAAGGGACGAATCCATCAACGACGCTAGAGGCGCCTAGAAAGGACGAGTATTCGAAGAAGTGGGACATAACTGCGCATGCAAGATGCTTTTATCAAGGGATGGTGGAGCAGGATCACAAGCCAAAAGGAGTGCAAGGTGATACGTTAGGCCCACATGGAATAAGTACGCCGTATCTCTTCTTGCAAATATCACTATCTTGCAAATATCTGACCGCCAGCTTATCAGCAGACATGAGCATGTGGTATTCCTTTCGGCTGCTGAAGGCCACAGCGCCCTCGTCACTCATGTCAATCCACGAAAGCGGGCCACCTATGAGAATGCGTAACGGACTACTTGAAGGACGGGATTCCACGTACCAAGGAATCGTGGTTTTTCTAAGTGATGGGTTTCGAGGATAAGAGGAGAGAACAGCAGAGAAAGTATCATCTGCGTGTTCGTTTCTGGCAATCACATTTCTTCCATGTTTCCAAAACAGCACCAAAAGGATAACGATTCTAAGGCCAAAAAGGCCATCCTGGCGAAACTGAGCTAGAGTCAAATGAGCGCTACGAATATTATGTGCTGTCGGAAGGTGACGCAAGTGGGACGCAATGAGAGTGGAGAGATTTTGGTTTTTGGCGCAAGCAGCTGGAAACACAATTCAATGGTAAAGGTATTTCTAGCAACTCTCTTTTCGCCACAGCAAGATAGGAAAGTATTTTTCCCCATGTTTCTCCCTGTCGATCACTGGAGTCTCAGAAATGCTTAGCAAAGAACTGAAAAAGAACAGGTTCAGCTTACTAAAGAATTTGTCTACCAATGAAGCAGTGTTGATCGAAGAAGCTCATTGACAAACAGTAGGCGGTGAAATGAAATTATAAAATTAAGCTTCTAGTAAAATGGATACTGTTACCTGTTGGTAGTCAGCCGGAGTTCCCCATCCATAATAATGATAGTCTCCTAGTTTAATTCTCGCTAGTGGGTATTCCTGATTAGCCGCACGTTGCCACTGCACAATAGCTCTCTCAAGCACGTTTTCTTTAGAAGAAGGGAAAAGGGAATCGGCTTCGCCTGAAAACACACAATTTTATTTTGAAAAATGACCAACGTTACCAGTTCAAAGGGAATGAAGTTTTGGCGCA